CATTGGGGATACGGCATGGGATGTGTGAGCTGACAGGAGCAGAAGACTTCAAGCTCTGGCACTGGAGATTTGGGGTGCAGTGGGAGCTGCTGTGGGTAGTACTGGGTCTGACTGGGTGGAGGTGGCCATGGCTGGGAAGGAAGGGAGCTCCTGGCCTTGCTGAAATGCTGTGAGAGATGACTGATGTGCTGGCTTCACTGCCCTCTCTTGTTTTTCCTCCTTTCCTGGCAGGGCTTGAGGCATTTGGTTTCCTTGGATAATTTGACTTTCTGCTTGGAGCAGTGATTTGATGGCTTTGTTATGTTAGGGAATTTGTAGCTTCAGGAATGTGGCATATTTGCCTTTCTAGGCAGTGACTTCAGCACATTTTGGAAAGGAGCTGAGAGAGCAGAGGAGGACTGTGTAAGTTACGTCACACAGAGGGGGAGCTTACAGACCTTTCCCAAGACCGATGGATTGTGAACTGATCTATGGTATCTGGGTGATGAGATGAGCTGACAGGTAACGGGAATGTAACCTGGTGATCTGTGTGAAACAGAGCGAAGAAAATGCCAAGGAAATTTGGAGGGATTCACTAAACTGTGTGACATTCAAGGTATTGTGAAGATGTTGCACAGAGTCTCCGACACAGCTGGGATAGACGGTGGAAGGATAACCTTACAACTGCTATTGTCATCTGTGGTCATGTTACAGAAGTGCCCAGAGAAAGCTTTGTTACTCCAAAGACATACAAAGAGAAGAGCCACCTTCAGCCCCCACTTACCAGCTCTCGTCAGCCGTATGGCACCTGTGACAAACCTACCTTGACAAGTGAGGGAGATGGCAGGTGTCCCTGGCCTCTCTGACCTCATGTTAAGTCACACATCAGAAAGCGTTAAATTGCATCACATATCCTTGAGCAAAGGGGCAGTTTTTTCCTAACCTTGTGACCATTGTGCAATTGTTGGAAGAAGCACATTGAGCTTCTCCCATGTAGTGTCGAGTATTAAATGAGCGTAACTTGGCAAGTGGAGGAAAGGCCTCTGTGCTGTCATAGGCAGCTTGGGCTGCACGGGTCAGTGGGTGGCAGAATGAGGCTGAACTTGTTTTTATTAAAAGATAGGAAGAGAAGGATAATGCTGTTACAGAAATCCACCACATGTTCCCCATGAACACTGTGCTTCCATTTTGAGGGTGTGGGGCAGAGAAGAAGGGAAATCCTTCAAAGGTGATTAGTGTCTAGAAGGACACTGTGTGAAAGGGGGCCAGATGTGTCATGAAAGTGAGCTGATTGATTCCAAGTAATAACGCGGCAAAGGGTAAATGGCTTGCTTCTGTTTAGCCTCTGGAACCACGGGAACACCAAAATAGGAAAGCAGCCCCTCCTGGTAAAGGGAACACTAGGATTCAAGGTGTGTAATTAACATTGGAAACTACTGCCAGATGTGGAGGCAGAAGTTTCACAGGCTCGCCACAGTGCTGCCGTGCTGGTGAGGCAGGCTCAGGTATAGCTGCACTTGAGGTTAAGCTGTGGCCTTTGCATCTCTGCCTGCAAACAGGAGGCAGTACTCACAGGTCGTGCTGTCAGGGCTGCTGTGGTCACTCCTTGCAAGGTGAAGCTGGTTACACTCTCAGGTCCCTGAGAACAGAGCCAGCTCTTGCTGTAGCTGAGCAAAGGGGTTGCTGACCACTGGGAGCTTTGAGAGCTGACTGTGGTTTGATCACTACACTTCAGCTCTTTCCTGTTTAGGAAACTAACAGCTTTGTGTAGATGCTGCTTTCGGTCTCTGAAAACACGGAGGGGCACAGAGGCAGCATTTGTCTCAGACCTTCTCAACAAAGGTTTAGAGGCACAAAGGCTTTTCATGGGTTTGCAGAGCAGGATGTTGAGATGCTGTACGAGCTCTCCTGGCAGCTCACCCTGCTCTGTACCGGCACACAGCACCCACTTGCTGTTGTGCTGTTGTTTTCCTGCAAGAAATTTTGCCAGCACCTTACAACTGCTGCTGAAGACACCCCCTGTTCAGTCTGTGCCTCTGCACAGACTCTGTGACCTGCTGGGTTCCTTTTGTTCCTTGCGGCTCTGCTTATCTGTTCTGTCCTTCAGTCCAGGCTCCCTCTCCCTGCTGTGCCAAGGGGTTGGGAAGCTCTGTGTCTGGAGCTGCGGCTGCCTGCTGTCAGAAGACACCGTCGTCCCTTCTTCCATCCCAGAGACTGCTCTCTCAAGAATAGCATGACTTAATACTGGAATTAACTGCTTAGGAAGAGCCAGTAAATGCTTGCAACAGCAGGAGACATTAGCTGAGACAAGGCCTGGGAAAGCCCCAGATCTTTAGGCTTCTGAGGGGGGCTGATGCACTGTCAGTTGTGTAGGCAGGACTTCAGCAGGGCAGGGGGACAAACCCTTCCAAGTGCCCAGAAGTACACCCAGGTAAAGACAGCGAATCTTGGCGACTGTAAAGTGTTCTTGGTTTCTTTTTTTTGGTGGAGGAAAGCTGTTTTGCCTAGGTAGAGCGTGAGAAGTGCTGCTTGTTTCCTAGTAATGTCCCTTGCCACATGAGCTGCAGTTTAGGGGCCTGAAGGTAAGGCAGTCCATTGCCTCCCACCCTCTGTCTGACCATAGGGCACACACAGAGCTTTCCTGTTGGGAAGATGTCATGTTGGCAGTGGGTGGTCAGAGTACCTGCCCTTCTGCCAGAGTTCTTGTAAAATGCAGCGGGTCCTTACCAAGGCCTCCCAAAGGGGTGACTTGCAAGAATATTGAGGCAGGAGGTGAGTGGGGCAACCTGGCGGGGTGTCTGAGTCAGAGCTGGAAATAGACTCGGATGCTTCGTCTTCCTCAGACCACAAAGCCGCCTTTCTCCCTTGGAGGGAGTTTGTGCAGGTCTGCTCAGGGTAGTGTGGAGGTGGTGGAGCCGAGGTGAGAAGCTGAGTGGTCACTAGCACCTGGGCTGTTTGTTCAGCCAGTTCTCCCTTGGGAGGCACCTGGGAAGCTTCCCAGCTTGCTCACGTTAGAGAAGCGGTTTTTGGCATTGCAGCGAAGTGGAGCACAGCGAGACTTCTTTGCTCGGAAGAGACACACTGGTGACAGCTGCAGCCAGGCTGCAGGGAGAGGGTAGAGGCAAAGTGCAGGCAAGCTCACTCCTTGCTGCCTGCTCTCAGCTCTGATCCAGTTGAGGCAGCTCTTGGTCCCATACGTGTTCACAGGCAGGGCTGGAGGCAGCTCCGCCAGCTAGGTGTATATGGTTATTTCAGTGTTTTAGCGAGGTGCTGACACCCAGCCAGCCTTTCCTATTGTAGTGCCAGGGCCCTTCTCGGCATCTGTCTCCAGCGCTGTGCCTGACTGATGGTCTGGGAGTCTCTTTGGTTCACCCTACCTCCTTCCTCCAGGTGTGAAAGATGGAAGCTGGACCGTGCTGCAGCTTGTGGAAGCCCTGGGGTAAGAAAAACCTTATATATGTTATACATTGCATAAGGGCCTTGCAGAGGAGATTCCCACAAGGAGGGAGTGAGAAGGAAAAGTATGTTCATCCAGAATGAGCTGGCTTCAGCGCTGGCAGATGCACCGCAGCACACAGGCGTGCAAGGGTGTTGTCTGCTCGCAGCATGGTGCCTGAGCAGTGCTTTGCCCTCCCAGGACTTGGGAGCTGTTTGGGAAAGAAGCAGCTCTTGATGCTCTCCCAGGACTGAGGAGAGGTATCAGGCACTTCTCAGTCTGGACTGTCCTGAGCACACAGCTGCTCATCACCATGTCACCAGTTGGCTGGCTTTTGTTTCTGTCTCTGAGCTGTCATGTCCTGGGACTCGAGGAGACTCGTTTCTCCCAAGCTGGAGGCTGCGTTTGCCTCAGCATTAAGAGGCTTTGCCCTTTTTCATCCCTTGTGTTCTTGGGAGCCTGAGATTCAGGTACCAGGCATGGTGCAGGAGCAATTTCTTTGATCTGATTTGAGAGCTCAGATTTTTTCTGCAGGGCTGTGAGGCCAGCTGCACGCATGCAGCACAGTCAGGGCAAGAGGAGTCTGCTCCAACCCTGCCAGCAAGTCAGATGGGAACAATACCTTTTTGGATTTATAATATATCTGCTCAGGATGTGCTTCATGCTTGTCCCTGCTCACAACAGGCCTCTTGGGCTTTCTTCCCACTTGGGCTAGGTCTTGCCTGGAGAACACAGATCCTCGGACACGAGGACGAGGCATCCAGCTGCTGTCACAAGTCCTGCTCCAGTGTTACTCCTTGCTCCAGGAGAAGGAAGGTGAGGACTGCTCTGGGACTTTCAGTGGCTGCTGGCAGGTTGGGCACAAAGCCTGTTCTGCTCGAGTGTCCGTTCTGTGGCTGTCAAAGGGATTAATTTTGCACCGTGACAACTTTGCATGTGTCTCTTCAGTGTCGAAGTCCAAGGAAGGCACAGGGCCTCACGCTGCAGCCTTTTGGCCAACCTCACTGCACAGTTTGGGTGACTCCCTGAGCACGCCAAAGCCCTGGGCTGCAGCTGGTGCCCCCGGCAGTATGTGGGTGTTGCACATCCAGGTGTGCTCAGTGCCTTGTGGGAGCCTTTGGGGACACATCTGCTTGTCAAAATCCTTGGGTGATGATTCAGTGCAGGAAAACCATCGTTCACAAAGTGAGTCATGCTGCTGGTGCAGCTCTGTGGCCTGCCCAAGTTAACTCTGGGGGAACCTAAGGGCCTGGGGAGGAGGGAACATCAATGTAAAGATGACAGTGGAGTGGAGGACTGGGGTGGGGAGAAGAAGATGCCCCATTCATGGAGACAAGGAGAAGGTGTGGCTGTGGTAAATGCCCCATAGCAACTGGCTGGCTGGGGGGGAAGCCAGTAGTAAGTGCTGCCAAACTTTGAGTTGGCCTGGGGGCCTTGCTGATCGGCAGCCGAACCTGTGCCAGCAGACTGGCAGGGCAGGGGTCCTGGGTAGTAAGTGAGGTGGAGGAAGGGAAGGATGAAAGTAAAAGGTGCATATTCCTTGGCATTTGTCTCTGTAAGTCTCAGACAGGCTGAGAGCAGCTGTGCAGAGAGAGTATGGATAGATTAACTACTGGTGTAGCTGGAGTCGGATGTGGTGACTGTGATGGGGATTGAGGAGCTCTAGAGGGGCAGCCAGAGGTGGGGAGGCTCAGTGGGGATGCCTGAGAAAGACAGGGCAGCTGGGCAAGGGGAACAAGCCACGTTAAAGCCAGGTCACCAGGAGCAATGGAGGAGGGCAGGCAGAGCCAGCTTCCTGGCAGGGTGCAGGTGGCTGCTGTGACACCCCCAGCTGGCCCAGTCTCCCTTTGTGTCCCTCTTCACGGAGTTCATTTCTCAAGTGCTGTGTCAGGCTGCCTCCTGGGGGGTTGAGTTTCTGCAGCAGCTGTGGGTGCAGGATGCTGCTAGCCGGCTCTTCCAGTCTGCTTCCTGCTGCCACTCCCCAGGGCCGGGGTGTGCAGGCGCCCGTGGCTGTGACTCAGGGGCTGGGAACGTGTTGTGGAGCTGACTGCAGGGAAGCTGGAGCTCCTGCTCCACCCCATGACATCCTCCAGCCTTCGCTGAGCAGGCGTCCGCTGCTCCCCTGCTTGTGTCTGCACCCACGTGTCTGGACAGGCCAGGGTAACTGCTTCTGAGCAGCCGCTCTGATGGGGGTGGCTGATGGGGAGAGGGCAAAGGCATTGGAGCCAGGTAGGCGCACCCAACAGTGGCAGCTCATCCTGTTCACCAGAGTGAGATGTATTTGCTCTTCATCCAGCTGCTGCTTTCAGCAGAGCTGGGGCCGGTGCCCGGCAGCTGCATTTTCTGGGAGTAATGCATGCTGGTATCTTTCTGACAGTACTGCATCTGGTCCTGTTCTATGAAAATCGGCTGCAAGATCATCACCTTGTGATCCCCTCGGTGCTCCAGGGACTCCACGCGCTGGTGAGCTCACGCTCTGCAGCCCGCAGAGCTGGGATGTGCTCTGGAACAGTGCCAGGGAGGTGCAACACCTGAGTACAGGTTGGAGCAGTGTGTCAAGCAGGGCCTGGCTGGGCTGCCAGCTCCTGCCCAGCAACATTGCCCTGTCGGCCTGCTTCTTCTGCACCCCTTGCAGAGGGGCAACGGGGAGGAGACAGCCTAAATTTCTCACCCTGTGCTGTTATAGGAGCAAGGGTTCCCTGGGGAACAGCACAGATGCTGGACATCTTGTCCTGTCCTATCTCTGGGGGCGGTGAGCTCTCCTTGGCACAGGAGAGGATCCTGCAGGTGGCTGCTGTACAGAAGCAGGAGCTCTGTTATGTGTCTGCCCTCACGGTTTTCTATCTTGATTTTCTTTTCTTATCCCCAGAGCATGTGTGAGGTGCTGTCCCCTGGACTAGCGGTATCTGTGCTCAAAGCCATCTTTCAGGAGGTACATGTGCAGGTGAGCAATGTGATTTCCCATCCTCCTGTCCCTGCTTCCTGCTCCCTGGGTGTCTGAGCGCGGCCTCCCTGCCCCAAGGACTGAGCACATTCAGCAGCAGTGCAGTGTAGTGCATCGTTCAGCACAGTGCAGTGCCTCTGCGGACCTTGGAGACAGCGTGTCTCCCTGCAGAGCAAGAGACAGGCAGCAGCTGAGGATGTTGTTTGGCCCCTGTCCTGTTTTCTCAGCCCTGGGGAAGTTGTTGCCTTCGCTGTGTTCTCCAGGCTGTATATAAGTGCCTTCAGCACCCAAATTCTCGTCCAGTTTAAGATTGTTCGAGCTGGCAGGGCCTTGGGCTTTGGTGTGACAGTGATGCTGCATTCATGCAGTGATGGACACAGTCGTGTTTGGGTGCCGTTGCATGGGCGTGTGCACGCTTTGTCTGTTGTAGCTGGGATCTGTGTGCGGGGAAGCAGCAGCTGAGCTGCTGGGGAGTTCTGCACCCTTTTCAAGGGTATGCGCTGCCCTTGGGTGGTAGGTAACAACACTGCCATGCGTGGAAGCTTGCTTTGATTCCTCTGCTTCTCCCTCCAGTCCCTGCTGCAGGTGGACCGCCACACAGTCTACAGCATCATCACCAACTTCATGGGTACCAGGGAGGAAGGTGAGAAGGCAGATGCCAGAACCACTCTCGGGTTGTCCGGGCTGGGAAAATGGCTCGCTTTCACGTTTTTCTGAAGGCTCTGATGCTCTGGTGCCTGGGTGATGCTCTGATGCTCTGGTGCTCTGATGCCTGGGGAGAGCTGAAAGGACTGCAGGGCTGGGGAAACCTGGCTGATTTCACACCATGTTGGTGAGGTCTGGTGTCCTGCATCTGCTCACGCTCTTTCTTTCTGCAGAGCTGAAGGGCCTGGGCGCCGACTTCACCTTTGGCTTCATCCAGGTGATGGATGGGGAGAAGGATCCCCGCAACCTGCTGGTGGCCTTCCAGATCGTGCGTGACCTCATTGCCAAGAGCTACGCCCTGGGTGAGCGTGTGCCTGCTGTGCAGAGCTGAGTGGGGAACATGCCTCTTTTCTTTGAGCTGCTGAAAGGATGGCCCTTGGGTCTGATTAGAGCTGGGATTGTCCCTGACATGCTTTAGGAGCTGCAGAGCCAGCCTCTCAGGGTGTCCCAGCCAAAACCAGGACACATGGATGATGGGCATAGCTTCTGTGCCTTTTTTGCTCAGTGTCTCTGCTCACATCTTCTATCCTTTCCTTGCAGGTCCCTTTGTCGAGGAGCTGTTTGAAGTGACATCCTGCTACTTCCCCATTGATTTTACTCCAGTGAGTGAGTCTGCCCTGTGCCACAGCCTATTCCTTCTGGTTTTTTCCAGGGGATCATGTCCCCACCAGGGGATGGGAAGGGAGAGGACAAGAGTCCTGGCTGGGCAGTGTTAGCTGCAAGCTCTGGTACCCAAGCTGACAGGACAGTGCTGGGCTGGCTGCAGTGACTGACATTGCTGGTGCCTTGCTGGAGAGGGGGTGATGCAGCCTTGTCTGATAGCTGGGCTGGGAGGTTTCCTGACTGGTGACCTGCTATCTCTGTTTCCCTTCCAGCCCCCCAATGACCCTCACGGCATCCAGAGAGAAGATCTGATCCTGAGCCTCCGGTCTGTACTGGCCTCCACCCCTCAGTTCGCTGAGGTAGGAAGTTCCTAGGGGGTTCTTGAGCAACCTCACTGTTCCCTGGGCACAGGCTGCATTTCCTACTGCTGCAGCTCCCACTGTGGCTCTGTGGGGAAGGAACAGTGGGGATTAGGAGCCTGCACTAGGACAGCCATGTCTTGTGCTGAGGCTGGGAGTGGGAAGGGTGCTGATGCTGACATCCTGGGAGGGGGCTGCCTGTTCTTCCGCATCTGCTCTCCTGGGCTGAGCTTGCAGCCCTGCAGGGCCATGGACAAGGTGGTACAAAGGGTGGGCTGAGTCTTAGTACCTCTCTCTGCAGTTCCTGCTCCCTCTGCTTATTGAGAAGATGGACTCAGACCTGCAAAGTGCCAAGCTTGACTCCCTGCAGACTCTGGTGAGGAGGGATCCCCTACTCCCTTCAGCCCACAGCTGGCCTGTGGCAGCCGCAGCCAGCCACCTCTGAGCCCCTCTCCCCGGCATTTTTTTTCACAATTTCCAGAGTCCTAGTGTCCTGCATCCCTCTTTCCTTTTTGTCTCTCCTATAAGTGGTTTGGGCAGTTCAACATGAGCCTGCCAGGATGGGCAGTGTCCATGATCTGTGTTCTCTTACTGGTTTCTCTCTGATGCTTTCTCCTGGCTCCCTCTTGCAGACCGCCTGCTGTGCTGTCTACGGACAGAAGGAGCTCCAGGAATTCCTCCCCAGCCTCTGGTCATCCCTGCGCAGGGAAGTGAGTACTGTGGGGTCCCTAACACATGCTCCACCGCCGTTGGGCTTCTGCTGAGCAGGAGTTCACAGCCACCCCAGACAGGCTCTGTATCTCCCAGCAGCCCCTAGCTTGGACAGCCTCAGCTGAAAAGTGTGTGGGGGAAGGCAAGCCAGCTCTCTTAGTGTGTCCTTGGGATTTGGATGTGCCACAGTGCATGTTCAGAGCATGTGGGAAGTGAGGCAGGAGCGTGCTGGGAGCGTGAAGCCTACAGTTGAGGTCAGTACAGAGCTTAGCTTATCCTACGGCCTCTCCTGCAGGTGTTCCAGACAGCGAGTGAGAAGGTTGAGGCAGAGTGCCTGACTGCACTGCATGCCCTCTCTGCCTGCCTGTCCTGCTCTGTGCTCAGCTCTGACACTGAGGACCTGCTGGACTCCTTCCTCAGCAGCATCCTGCAAGGTAGCTAGCACAGAGACCTACCCTTGCCCCGAACCTGCAGGCATGCTTCTGGCTAGAGATCTGCCCTCCTGTTCTGTTTGAAACCTCTTTCTTTTTCTGGCTCTTACCAGCCACTGTTGGCTTCTCCAAGGGAACTGGCTGCAGGAAGGGAGGGGAAGGGGGGCACAGTAGGAATTGAGATGCTTTCTTCTCTGCTGGGATTGGGGCATTCAAGGCTGTGTTTGGAGGTGGGGGAAGCAGCTCGGTTAGGGAGCCTGTGCGACAGCTCAGAGCTACGCCCCGGCAGGACGTCCCAGCCCAGATATCAGCTGCGTCCCCGTACATGAGGCAAGAAGCTCCTGCCAGCGCAGCTGACACCCAGCCTATCTCAGATTGCAGGCATCATCTTTGCGAGCCCGACATGAAGCTGGTGTGGCCAAGTGCCAAACTCTTGCAGGCAGCAGCGAGGGCCTCCCTCCGCGCCTACCACCACGTCACCCACAGCGTCCTGCCTCTGCTACTGGAGCAGTACACCAGGCACTCGCAGGTGAGGGGTGCCCTGGGCTCTATGTGCGCAGGCAGCAGGGCTGAGCATCCCGCTGGCTCTGCAGGGCTTGTCCCTGGCTGCCAGTGGGGACCCTGTGGGCACCCTTGTGGCACTGGGCTGAGACACAGCTGTGTCCCAGTAGTGACAGTGATTTGGGTTATGCCTTTATGTCCCTGCAGAGCAGCCAGAGAAGGACAATCTTGGAAATGCTGCTGGGCTTCCTGGAGTTGCAGCAGAAGTGGGGACATGTGGAAGAAGGTGAGGCTTGCTGGTTCCTCTGGAGGCGCCTGTGTCCAGGGGGCTGCTGGCTCTGACCTCACCTTCCCATATGCTGACAGAGAAGCTCACTGACCTGGGTGGCTGCATGTGCTGCTGTGTCCCAGGGATGCTACCTGGTTGGATGTCAACCAGTAGGGCCCCAGAAAGGGTCTATCAGGTGCTGTGGTGGTGGCTGTGAGGTGACAGCCAGGCACAGGCAGTGACTTTATGCCTCTCTCCGCAGATGAGAGTACTCTGCTGTCTCTCCGAGCCTCCATTTGCTCTGTGGTGTTCTCAGCGCTGACGGATCCCAACGTGCAGCTGCAGCTGGTCGGGATCAGGGCACTAACTGTCCTGGGCTCCCTGCAAGGTTGGTCCCTTGTTTCCCTTGGGGAGGCAGAGGGAAGCATCACCCTGCTCTGGGAGACGTGATGTCATGTGGCTGGTGGGACATCCTTGCCTGCTGCCTGTAGGTGCACGTGAGCAGTCACAGCATTTTCTACCCAGGCCGTGAGGCCCAGGGACATGTGGTGTCTCTCTTGCCTGGTTGTGCTGGACACCTACTATCTCTGATCTTTGGCATGCTGCTATGTTGCTGCCAGCCCGGATGAGAGGGAAGGATGCTGGCCAGAGCCCTGGCATCTTTGCCTTTGGCCAAGGGTGGGATTCCTCTATGGCTCTTGTTCCAGGCTTCCTGTCTCCTTCTGACCTGGAGCTGGTTGTGGATCACCTCATCCGTCTTGCTCTGCATGAGAAGGATTTCCAGAGCAGGTGAGGGGCAGGCTGGCACCACTGCTGTCACCCACACTCTAGGGAGAGAAACAAAACCTGGCCCTGCTGCAGAGCAGGGCTGTACTCTTGGAGAAGGCACTGTCAGAACTAAAAGACCATGTGTGTGCGAGAGCAAAGTCGTAAACCAGGCATTTATGGGCTGGAAATTGGAAAGTCCGGGCCTGCCAAAGTAGGGGGCTCTGTCTGCCAGTAGGGTGAAAAACGCACATTTCTAAGAAGTGGATTTCTGGAGGCCCCTTCTGACTCAAATCTATGCAGCTGGTGTGCAATCAGCCCTGGGTTTGCAGTGCTCACATCATCCCTCTCACTTGCTTTCCCCATGGCAGTGAAGCAGCGATGGAGGCAGCGGGATCTCTGGCCCCCCTATACCCAAAGGTTTTCTCTGGACACATGGTGCCCAGGCTTGAGGAGGAGCTCCAGTCAGGTAGGGCTGGTGGCCCTGGGAAAGGACTGATGTTTGATTTTGGGGTGAAGCCTGTGCTATCCCTGTTTGGCTTCTCCCAGGCAGTGGGGCTGTGTATGGCATAGGTGGGTGGCACTCTCTGGGGGATTCCCAGCACAGAGACTGTGGTGCTGGCACAGGGAAGGCCACGCGTGGTGCTGGTGACCAGCCTGCGTGGCCAGGATCACCTCTGTGGAGGAGGTGCAGCATGCCTTGTGCTTGGCATGGGCTAGCTCTGCTGTGCTGCTTCACTCATCCACCCTGGCAGGGTCCTGGGCCTCCAGCACCCTTGAGCGAGGGAGCCTGTGCTCACCCCACCACCCCTCTGATCTGTTCCTCTTCAGAGCGGGAGGAGGACAGCTCCCATGACCACTGCTCGCTGCAGCAGCTGGCAGCTGTGTCAACCCACACCAGCATTGTGAGGGAAACCGTCCCAGTCCTGCTGCAGCATCTCCGGAAGGTGCAGAAAGGTAACCCTGCTGTTTGCGGGGCAGCAGGGAGGGCACGTTGCCCCAGGGGTCATGAGTGGGCTGGCTGCTGCAGCTGTTTG